ATGTCTGCAGTGAAAACAATAAATAAATGAATTTGTATTGATATTCACTATAGCAGTGCGATACACTGCAGTAATGAAGACTGCAACAGAAAAACTGCTAACAATCCACATAAAATAAATGCATGCTTAGTAACAACAGCAGTAGTAAACCAAACATGCTAATTACCAAATATTACAACAATCCTATGAAGAAAATTAGATATACATTAAAATAAATGTAATTTTCTTCATTTTTACATGTTTGATATTTCATGTCACAAGGATTGGGAAAATGACATAAATATATGAGGTCACATACCGTACTGAGTTCAGAGAAAATCTATCCATAAAATACTGTGGGTTTCTTAAAAAGAAAATGTGTTTTCATTGTAGTCTATGGAAACCGCTGCTAGAATGGCATTTCATTCCATTATTTTACCGTTTTTCTCAAAAATCAGATTGACAGTGAACCGAAAAAATTTAACATACTGTTGACTGATATTAAAACGAATAATTGTAAAAAGATTTTGAGACAAAATATTGCTACGCTACTGCTATACACGTACGTGCGAAAATATGCGCACATGTAAAAAAACTTGTGAGTACCGTAGTACTCTTACTACAATTAGGCAGGTGCTATAGTGGATACCTGTTCTGATTTGCAAATGTATGCGTCTCTTAAGAATCAGACAGAACACCTTTCTTTCTATAAGCTGCCAACACGGTAAGATCATTTTGAAATGCATACGTACTTGTTGTGTATTGAAGGTAAAAACACATATGTGAGAATATAAGGCCAAAAAAAACAAACTTATGTTGCCCTCAAGTTGGAAAATTGGGTCGGTCGGTCGGATTTTTTTTTTTTTTAAACTCGTGAAAACTAATGGTATCGTAAATAGCCGAGGTATATGGCGAAAAAAAACGCCACTCGATGTTTCATATTTTTCGGTCAGTCGATAAGGGCAACAAAACAATTTTCTTTTTTGGCTTAATATACATAAAACAATTATCAGTGTCTTAATGATATACAAATGTACATGTTGGTCTTTTAGGAGAGAATTTTAATAGTTTTAATTAGTAAATTCTTTAATTTATTCAATTATCTGTGATTTCAGGATTGTGAAGACCAAATATTTGTTCGAAACCCATCTGAGGTCCTCTGGGAAGGACAAAAATAAATTTCTCTTAATCTATGAAACAGATTCATAATACATGTAGGAATGTTACTAATGAGGCTAGTACATATAAATAGATGAATACATACGTCCACGCCAATATCAAGGTACAATCTGATCTTATAGCAATCTTTGTTAAATCTTTGACTGCATGGTGCGGATCTTTCTACAACAACAAAAATAATGATGATAATGGTAGCGTTATAACTGAAGACATTTTATTTCCCGGGGAATTAATTCCATACAGGTTAGATACACAGAATCTTTTTTTTTAAACATTTATCATGTTATTTGATTCAATTGAATTCTTAGACAATAAAAACTCTTAGATAAAATTTCAACAACTTTTAAATAATTAGTAAAGTTTTTAGAATACAGAATTAAGTTGAAATTTTGAACTGGTAGAGTAAAAATCATTAATTACAAAAACACTAGATGACATACATTGTGCATCATTTGTTTCAGAAAGCATCATTTCCTGGACCATCAAAACACAATCATTTGCAATATTCATTGGCAAAAAAAAAAAAAAAACTGATTACGAATATGACTTATTGGGCTATTAGGTAATATGTGTTTC